TTTGTTTACAACTCACATTCATCGGCTGGACATCAAAATTCATATTCTCTCTGCCGACGCTGTCATTGTCCGCTGGAATTCTTATAAACAATCAATGTGCGGCCAGTCGTACTGAAAATTGAACAACATAGTGATTAATCATTAGAATTTTAAAGTCATCAGGCATCCTCCTAAGTGAAAAAGCTGACTTTGCTTCTGAAGAGACGAAAACACTACCTGTCCGTAAAACCAAGAGGGGTTTCTACTTCAACATCTGATGTCGTCCACTGATGTGTATTCTGCGAGTCAGTCTTAGCATAGTTAGTAGAGGGGTCCCCCTCTACTAACTATGGTTTTAGTTTTGTTTTCTATGCATAACTACCCCACACTCCAATGCACAAATTTGCATTCACTTCCTTAGCCATTTTGTCCATTTCAACAATATTTTCGCGCTCAACACGATTTACTGAAGGAATTTGGTCGAAATACTCCATCAAAAATCTCTAGAAACAATTAAACAACAAAAACACGAAACTGTTTGAAACAATAAAAATATCGAGCCATAACCTTCTTTTAGAGGAAGTCGCTAATTCGAGTGGATTCGTCTTTTTACTTGTTACACTATATGTCTTGCCATGTGTAGGAAAGTAAAATGTGCTGAACATATACATAACATAAATGTATTGTAATCTTAATTTTCATGCACTCATTTCAGTGATAACTTTTCATTACCAGATTGGATGACTCTTTACGCAATAATGTTTATTCTGAGACCGTAAGATTCTGTCCGAAAAAAACCTATTGTTTATGGCACTAATAAATCAAAATTTACTTTGCAAAAAAAAAACAATAAACCACAGTTTCTGAAGCGATGGAAAGTCTGTTACTCAGAAAAACAAAAGTCATTTTTGTCGTCTTCGGAGAGTTTTGTTTGACATACCTTGAAATCAGTCGTATGATACAACTAAGTGGCATCAACATGAATTACTCGGTGTTAAACTTAAAACAGTTATCAGTTGTTGAAATAACCGGCTGTCCTGGCGAAAACTTCAAAAATATCGAGAATCTGAAAACTGAGCTTTGCAAGCGAAGGATGCGGAGTCATGTGAAGAGTAAAACCCTCTTAGGCAACACTTTACGCGGCAATAGTTGAGAGCCACAGGTCTACCATAAATTCACTGTACCGTGTCACATTTTTCAGAGCCACAGATCCCCTGTGGATGGTAACACACTTTACTGAAATCTCTAAGTAGCGATTGTATTAAGAAAGATATGTGACGTACATTTCGAAGACTAAACTTGATTTAAAAAAACTGAAATAGGTACGCGCTAGGCTCACATGGCTACAGAAAGTGCAAGTTCTAGAGTTAGAGACCTAACCAGTTAAATGCGCAACTTTGAGACTAAGAATACAGGTACTCATGGCTTCGTGAAAAAAAAAAAAAAAACTAACACAGAGGTTTCGAATGTTGACAGACATTGTGGTCTTTACACACACTATCAAAGTGAGGTGTATGACAAGCATTCACGCTGTCGCTCATCAGCCTCGTTTTTGTGTTTCACGTTGAGTCGATATTCTGTGCAAACTGGATGAATTTCTGTTTAGTTTTCTACACGTCTAACGAGTTAATCCGACGCTATAAGCTACAAAATGAATTGTCTTTCTGTTTAAAAGTATATTTTCCTTCGAGAGGACAAAGTGTAACATATTCATATTACTCATCGTCACACCCGATCAACCCAACAGGAAACGAATACGAATAAACTCTGTGACGAATAAAATGAACGAAAGATCAAAGGAAATTATGCACCTATCAAGAGAATACAAATTGAAATAAGCTATCATTCAGTGTATAGCCGAAAAAGTTAGAATAATGTTGTGGTCACAGCCTAAATCTTGCAGTCAAATGTTTTTCTTAGTTAAATTTCCGTTTTATGAACGCATAGGTATCCATGCTTCAGAAATTTTGATTCTTTTACTCTTTTGATGTTATTAGGATGAGGTATTATGTGCTAAAGCTCAAACACATTCAGCAAGATTCAAACTACATCGCCGGAACTTTCCGTAACATCGAAACCGAAACTTTACGAAACAGCAGAAGTTTCGAGTAATAACTTCGTATGCTTCACTTCTCACCATTGTATCGGGTCTATTAGGGTTTTTATAATTGGGATGTGAAAATTTATCGGTTTTTCACACGGCTTTCGGTTTTGATTGATTTTCAATTCGCGGCTTTGCGGTTCTGGATGAATTTAATACGGTTTTGCCCCCCTCAGGGAGTAATGCATTCGATGCTATTTTTTTCGCTGAGGACAGCTGGTTAATTCACAGATATTTAAGATATACGTATGCAATGCCCTGATTTCGATTTTTTAGCCACCCAATGGTTTCACAATTTTCTAGCACTAGATATGTTTCCTCTTCACACTCATCAACGTTACATGAAAATTAAAATTCTCCCTGCCTTCGCTGTTATTATTTGGTCGAGATCCCATTCACAATTGATGTGCCATCAGTCATATCAAAAATTAAACAAAATTAATCATTCGGTGTCAAGAACGTCATCGCAACAAAAGTTCATTTTGTTGACGCCAAAAGAGTTTTGTTT